GGCCCTCCAATCTTTTATCATTTGTGAAAAAACTTAACTTAGCTATTACTTTCAACTTAATCCACTTAAAACAATTTCACGTATTTATTCAATTATTTAATGGGCAAATTTTAATTATTTGATGGCCCTTTGAAAACCTGACATATTGTAATATCCCTTATTCCAATTATTCCTAAATATTTTATTTTAAAAGCGTTCCCCTTGTTCCGACTTCCCAAGATACGGACTTTACCGACACCCTTCACTCCCACCAATGCTAAATCCACTCCTAGACCTCCCACCAGGGTATATAATAGGAATGATTAAAATATTTGACGAGTCGCTTTCCCGTAAGCTCTCCACTCATTTAATTATTAACTTTTAATACAAAAGTTAATTTTTCCTCTGCTCTTGTAGTTCTGCTTGTACCCTAGTCTCCACCCCATAATCATGACGTTGGTTAACACAATATAAAGATGTTCTCACCTGACTAAAAATAATATGTAAGAGGAACACCTACTTATGGTCTGTTTAGGGCAAAGATTGGAGTCTGACATGCGGAAAGCAAAGTAGAGATAACATGGTACATATTATAAAGAACTAGCTTCATGATAATGTTATAAAAAACAAACTATATATAATGAATATTGTATACTATATATAACAGTAATATAGTGTAATAATATCTAATAATATAAATTCTATATATAATGAACTGCAGACATTTTTCTAAATTTCTTTTTCTGGGGTGATAAGACTTAAAATTCCAACACTTCCCAGTAATGAATTCCGCCTATTTAACAACTATCCACCAAGGCCGTTAATTTAAATGTTTAAACATTCACTATCTCCTTATTATAAATTAACTAACGTATCGTTGTGAGCATAATCAGTGTTATTTGTTGATATTGTAGAAAATTATAAGATAAGGTGTATCAAAAAAAATATAAAAAAATAATAAGAACAAAACATTGCCCAGCCATACATAGATAAGCGTTATCTGAAGTAGAAAAATCCCAATATAAATTAAACAAGAAGTAAAACAGACTCGTGGCATATTAAGTTTGTCGTTTTTTTCCTTTTATGGTTTTCCCGATTTTTTAAGTTTTAATTTTTCATATGAGTTACATGCGAGTATTAAAACATGAATTTAGCTACCTAACTTTCAGCAGCTTTTCTGATTTCCCTCTACTTTCTTTCTTTATGTATACTTTTAGCGGTTCGTACATTCTTTTTATCTATTATCTTGTCAGTACATATCCATAAATCATGTAAATGTTCATAACTACCTCAATAAATTTTATTCTCTCTCTCTCTCTCTCTCTCTCTCTCTCTCTCTCTGTATATATTTTTTTCTCTCACTCTCACACACGCTCTCTCTCTCTCTCGCTCTCTCTCTCACTCCCTCCCTCTTTCTTCGTAACATCTATCTTTCTTTCGTTTTGTTATATCTCACTAATTTGATATCTGCATTTTGTGTACTACTAATGATTCCTTGCTTCAATGTCTTATGACATTTACACATCTTAAACAACCAAAACCTCCATCTTCACTACTATTGTACTTAACTCTAATAATAAATAAATAATAAAAAATATTCTTAATAGGTGCCTACGTATATTTATGTTCTAGTTATCGACCATTTCATATATATGTATTTATTTGTTTATTATTAGAGTTAAATTACATATATATGGTACAAAACCAATATTTGTTTTTCTAACCAAAACCCTAATCCATGTTGTGTTAATTTAAAATGTATTCCTAGACATTTTCATTTTCAGGCCCAAATATCGTCCATGTTCTGTCGGTTCTTTGCATTCCCAAAGAAAGACATTTAATCTAACAATTAAAACTGTTTTGGAACTTTATTCAGATTTAATTTTTTTTATCTTACAACGGTAGGTAAAAAAAAATATGAAAAAATTTACAAAAACACTAAATCTAATGGACTTTTATCAGACTCAACGTTGTTCAACAAGTGTTCAAAATAATGATCATTATTAAGAAAAGGATAATTTTGACTGTCAAGTGATCATTATAATATCTTTGCTTGTTGAAAAAGTTGATAATTTTCAATATATATAGTATTACATTTCATCACTTCTCTTACTGTAGACTAAATTTGGATTACATCAGCTAACATCAACTCCTTGACTACTTTTTTCGATTTTGTTTTTTAACAACGCGGAATCCATGGTAGTTTTTTTCTAAATCCGCCTGAAATTTTGTTATTCATCGTGGAACATGTAATTCAAATTAATAAAAAAATAATCTAACAATCATCGTATACGACAAACAGGGACGATAGTAAGGTAGCAAGAGTTAGGTCACTGCCAACATAATGGACCGTTTATCTAGTAGAACAAAAAATTTCCAAGCTAGAATTATTTCGAACGGTAGGAGAAATTACTTGAAGTAAAACCCCAAGGATGACTCATGATTAGTCGGATTATTTTCAGAAAACTCTTAGGAATTGGCATATCAGCTAGCAGTCATCAACCCTGAAAAGTCTGTCCATAAGTATCCCCTTGTAATTTGTAACTTAAGTACTTTTAAGATAGAACCCGACAAAACAGTTCTGATCGATTAATACCATGCCGTATGATCTGCGATAAATTCTCGTTTACATAAAAACACACTCGACTTTATCAAACGTATGTTTCTGTAAAGATAAGGGTTGTTTTTTATATTTGTATTTTAATTAATTGATTATGCCACTTCGTTTTTCTCCACGTGATCAACTTCTATAAATTGGTGATTTTTTTTTTTTTTTTGCTTATTTGGAACGATTCCCAGTTATAGTACACACATCAAGTTAATCTGTTTTAAGTGTTGGACATTTTGGCCACAAATTTAGGACGACGTTCTGAATTTCTTTAAGACAGTTTCTGAATTTTATTTTAAATATTATAGTTTACTAGACATTTATTCAACTTATTTATTTAAAAATTATTAACAGAAATAAATCATTATATTAGATCTAATTTTAGAAATTGCCTAGTCTTTTTCCTTTTGAGCTATGTCTCTGATTACTGCAATCTAACAGTATGTGGTGTGTATTGAAGGCGCACTTCGCCTTTCTGTACCTCATTCAGTACTCACAGTTCATCTATGAAATGTACAACCTTGAAGCTTGAAAGAGAGGAGGGAGTAAAGAGAAAGAGAGATGGGCATGTCGTTTAAGGCCCACCAGCATATAGGGTAAGGGGGAGTAAGCCAGCAGAGAGAAAAAAGAGAGACTGAGAAAGGCAGAGTTAGGGAGAGAGAATAAGATTATAATAAGAGAGAGACAAACAGAGAGAGACAAACAGAGAGAGAGAGAAAGAGAGAAAAAGAGAGAGAGAGAGAGAGAGAGAGAGAAGGAGGAAAATTGGGGAGACAAATAGTCAGAGTGAAAGGAGCTAGACAGGGAAAGATAGAAATATTGAGAGACGGAGAGAGCAAATGGAATACAGAGATATAGAGAGATGGCCATGAAGTATAAAACCCACAGGGAGACAAAGATAAACACAGTGATCAAGGGGGGATGAGTCAGCAGAGAGAAAGAGGGAGAAAAAACATCCAGAGAATGAGAAAGGCAGAGCTAGGAGAGAGAATAAGATATACAGAGAGAGAAGAACAGTGACAGACTAACAAATAGACTAAAAAGAAGGACAGTGTGGGAGGTAGAGACTTGAGAGAGTGAAAGTAGAGAGAGAGAAAGACTACTCATGGTTTGATACCCCGTTTTACCGACCACTCCTACATTGTACACATTGATATTGTGCCTTTACTGTATATATTATTAATATGACCTTTCCAATCATGTTTTCTATCAAGCGTCACACCAAGGAATTTGATTGAATCCACTAACTTTAATTTTATGCCCTGAAATTTAGGGTTTTTAAAATTACCTAATATTCTTCTCCTGCTAAATGTTATCAGTTCTAGTTTAACAGGATTAATTGATAAACCTTCATCACAACACTACTCATAAAGCAATCCCATGGCGTTTTCCATCATTAGTGAAAGAGTCAGGGGATCCCTACCTCTGAGCATTATGGTACCATTATTTGAAAATAATTGACTGGAAACTTGAATTGTTCAGAAGTTCTATTAAGCTCTTTACTGTAATTAACCATAAAAGAGGTGACAAGTAGCCTTCCTGTGGACAGCCTCCTTTGATATTAATTATAAGAGTGCTACCACCTAAGCACATATTGACCATCCTTCCTTCCAAGTAGGTCTTCACCCATCTAGTCAGGTGATAGTCGAAATTGTAATCATCTAATGCTGATATAATGCAAGAAGTATCAGAATTATCAAACGCCCCTTGGATATCGAAGAAGCAGCCTAGTGTATATTCATTATTAACAGACGGATATAGAAAGACGGCAGGGAGGGCGGTAACGTGAGGTAGATAGGTAGAGTTAGAAAGATATAGATAGTTAGTTAGATAGATAGATAGATAGAGAAACAAAGAAAGAAAGAAAGATACAGGGAGAGGGATAGGGAGAAAGAGTATGTGTATAACTGTAATGTTGTAATGTTTAACTGTAACGCTCGCCCCGGTGACTCAGTGATTGTGTGTATTTATGTAAAAACTAAGTTTATATTTAGCATGTAGCTAAATCACGTCTTAGATTATTCAGGCATTACTCCATGAGGATTAAATAAAAAGATTTTTGGAGAGTTTTTGGGTTGTAGAAAAAAATATTTGGGGGGGGGGAGTTAATCAGTATTAGGAATTTGAAGATATTGTGACCATGTACCGTAAGTATAAAACAAAAATAAATAAAACATTATTTTGACTGAGATATTTTTATATCTGTGGATTACACTGATGAACTCATATCGCAGTTAGGTAATAAAATAAATTAAACATATACTTAACTTGTAAATTGTAAAAATTTTTACTTAAGACATTTGAGCATGCAAGATATTAAAAAAATCAAATGCGTGTTAAACAAACGCTAATTAAAGACAATAATGCTATGTTAACCTATAATCCCAAAAAAGTATAAGAATACTCACGAAAGTATGTCTTGAAATAGAATTTAGAAATGTTCGAACTGCTAAAAAATATTACCACTTTGCACTATGATGATTAAACAAGATGTTATAAGAGACTATAAATTTTTTTTATCCTTCTGCTTACACATGCAAATTTACGAGGCAGAAAGATAAGCAACTTAGAATACGTTCTACTAGCAGACTGGCAGATATGGTCAGTTCAAAGTACTGGTGGTTTGCCTACTTTCACTACTTCGCCATTTTTTTCTTTTTGGCACCTTTTCCTTGCCACCCCCCCAACGACTATTTTTGGTGTCTGACATCATGATGCCAGTGTGAGAAGTTTGTGTATTTGCGGATAGTGTCACGCGGGCCGGAGCTGGTGGGAGCGTGCCTCCTCATATTTAGATGGTTTAAAACAGCCGACCAATGAACATCGTTGATGTGGCGTGATCGCGATTTTGTTCGTAGACAAAAAAAAATTATGCAGACAGAATTCGTAGAGATAAATTCTTTAAGTGTGATGATTACGAGAAAATAATTTGCAAATCACTGGCATAAGGCCGTATTGAAAGATTCTTTGTCTAATTCTAAACTATTATCTAACTAATTCACTAGATATTTCTCGAGATTGTTCGTTGGTGAGTTAATTTTGGTTCTTCCTGTTTGTGCAAAATCAAATCAAATATCAAGTGTCAATTATGTAAAAAAAAATATAAACTATCACTGATTCCTCTCGATAATGACTGAAAGACAAAATAACAAGCTATTTAATGTGCACCTGCACACAAGTCACAACTTATATTACAAAAATTATAAATCATAAACTAAGGTGTTAAGAGCATTTTTGACCGTTTTTCGCACAATATCTGAATCATTTTGTAGTTAGTTGTTATTACATGTTAGTAATTTTTTATTAGTGCTGTGTTTACGCGTTTTAAAGAATAATAATAATGTGTTTTTCTCAATGACCTGTTGTTTCATAATTTGTTGAAGACGTGAGGACGGCCAAGAATGAGGTAGTTTAGAAAAACACCTTTTTCATTTTTTGCCGACGATTTTTCGACCTCCGGTCATCTTCAGGGCCTGGGATCAATTACAAAACATACGTTGATTGGAAAAAACACAATTTAAGATAGAAATTATAATATTCAATAAATTTTGAACCAAGTATTTCACACTCAATTAAAATGTGATGCTATTCTTGGAGTGTCATATTGGTTTTGTGTGAAAGTGTTGTGAAACATGAATTATAATCTCCTGTTTTTATTGATTGTGACAGGGTGGGCGACTAGATAAATCTGGGAAAATTTTTGTTTTGTGATTCGGTATTCAATATTGGAAAAGAATTAAGTATTCTTTTCATCTGAAAAGGCCTCCCCATGGCCAATTCAAATATCACCGAGAATCGAATGTTGATTACACGATATTTGAAAAATGACAAAAAGAGGGAAAATTTGAACGGTTGTAGGTTGAAATGGGAAGCTGGTTTCCGAGGGGATCGAAGTCACGATAGCTCAAGTGGTTAGAGCAGCGGCGTATTGAACCGAAGGTCGTGGGTTCGATCCCGCTCATGACACTAATTTTTCATCTCAACCAAAAACGTTACAAAAAAGATTAATCAATTGAAAGAAGTAATTTGGTCAATAGAACACTAAATATAATGAATAAATAAGACGTTTCATCCATCCTTAAATATTTCCTACAATCAGCGGGTTCAAGGGAAAGATCTTTCATCAAATTGATGTGGGTATTACGGCTTCTGTTCAGGAGCCACTTCTTACACCATTTCCTCTTCGATTTTTTGCTTTTAATATATATATATATTATATGAAAAGAATAGTCAATTGGAAAAATTAAAATGGACCATTAAACCACTAAATATAAATGGATTGGAAAGGAAGTTAATCATCAAGGACGATAACGAAGGAAAGGAAATATAAAAGTAAGATTTAATAGCTTATAGTAACTAATAATATAATGTATACAACTTCATAATAATATAGTGTATATAATATCATAAAGTGTAATGTTGGAGTAGCTAGGGCTGAGTTTGCATGTATCTGTTCTGTAATTAATCCTGTGTGTGGCTCTGTTAATGTAAACTATTTCTAGAAAGTTGCGTTTGTATTTTTTTTCTGTATTAATTATTTCTATTTTGTCGAAACCAAAGTTGTTTTGTCCCATGCTGTGGGATTGGTTTGTGGTGTTTTACTGTCATAGATGTCTTTGGTTTTTTCCGTTTTTTTTATATTGCGATGTTATTCCTATACACGTTGCTGGACAGTTTATACAATTAATTTTATAAATTACATCGGATTTGTAGGCTGTTGGTGTTGGGTCTTTGACTTTGGAAAAAAATGTATGTACTGTTTTATGGTTTTTAAAAGCCAACACAATCTTCTACTTAAATATTCTGGTTATGGGTTCCTCATCTTCTATTTTCCTCTCAATATGTTTTTTTAGTTCGGACAAAATAAATTTTATTCTTTACCATGTGAACTGCACAATTTCTTCAAAAATTATAAATAAATGTACACTCAAAGACAAAACCAACACTCGCATTTATTTGTTTATTTCAAACTATATTGCACACCCACAAGAAAAGTGACACAATCGAAAAATTATAAAAACCGGGATATTTAGTTGTTGTTTTTTTTTGTTTAAGTATTCGGGTGTATGACACAACTGTAGGTGGACTCTTAGCTGTTAGGCAGCACTATGTGTCACTTTTGAACTGGCGGGAACATACTGTCACCATTCACGAAAAGTGGCATATCTTGGTGGTGTGTTGAGCTTTAAAGCATCGATGTGAGGATTTGTCAGGAAAAGTGGCACATTTCGAGTTACGTCAGTTTTTCGTGTTTAGTGAAGGATTTTATGGTATACCGGAGTCACATTGTCACATTACGAAAAACTATTTATGAAAGGTATTGGTTGAGATAAAAAGTCAGTGTCACGAGCGGGATTCGAACACACGACCTTCGGCTAAATACGCCGTTGCTCTACCACTTGAGCTATCGGGACATCGATCCGTTCGGACACTAACTTCCCATCTCAACCTCACCTCTCGAATTTTCCCTCCTTTGTGCCTTTTTTTTTAAATCTTAACCAATACCTTTCATAAATATTAATTAATTAAAAAAATGTAACGATGAGCTGGGTTATCGACCTGTTGGAAACATGAAGTTTTTTCGGAGGATCTACGGAAGAGGTCAAGTTTGTTGTCATCATTCTGTCGGGGATCGTTTCCCGTAGCCTTTGTTCCTCTCGTCGAAGAGGGTTTGTTATTTTTTTGTTTTGTTTTTTTGATCTGTAATCTTAATGTATCGTAATGTAAGATAAGTTAATTGTATATATGTATGTATAAGAAACACACTGATCGCATGTACCTGAGAAAAAAAAAGTTTTTACTAGTTTTTAGACTTTTATGAGATAACCTTTTCTCGACCACGTTTTTTAATTTTTATTATACTTACAGTTGTAATTTTTAATTATTAATTTATTCAATTTAAATGATGTTTAGAAGCTGAGCACCAAAAAAAAAGTAATGTACTTCGGTGCCCAAAACACCATGTCTTTTTATTTCCCCATTAAGGTTTAAGTAAGATATTTCAATTTTTGTGCAATTTGTTTTTTCATGTTTTTAATTTTTTTTTATATGATAATAAAACAGGCCCTGAAGATGACAGTATAAAAACTGCCGAAAGCTCGGCGAAAACCGAAAGGAAGTTTTTCTCTGTGTTGACCTCTTCCGTAGATTCTCCGAAAAAACTTCATAATTGAAAAAAGTTAATTGATCAATTGGACCACGAACTGTAACGGATTATGAAAAACAATTGTTAAATCAATTGTTTAAATCAATCAAATATGTTCTTCGCAAAGTGAAATTAATATAGGCCCCCATAAAATAGGTCTAAAGCTTCGCAATAACAACTGAATTTGCTTTTTTCTTCAAGACCATACCTTGATCTAGAGTGTTCGTGAATTATTTTAGTTTCATTTCTTTTATTTTACTAACATTCTTAATTATTACATTGTTTTTTCATAATTTTTTAACAATGTTGTCTCTTAACTTTTAGATTATTTTATGATTTTACGATTTTTTTAATGTTTTAATTACAATATTTTTAATAATCAATAAAACCTTTATTTCAACAATTAATTTTGTATTTTAAATAACAAATTATCCCTGACTCCAGGAGGAAAGCACATTTGGTCAAAAAGAATCTTAATAAAATTTCCTACAAGGATATTTATGCTCGTATGTTAGGTTTGTATGTTGTATGTTACTAATAAAAAAATTATCACCCTTACAGTCATTCATTGACCACCGTTATCGTTATAGCAAACAAACTAACGTAAATTACTGAGATATGCAAGAAGAGTGAAGAACTCAAAAGGGGGCAGTTTTTTAGGGGTAGTACAGTTGGATTTTTAAAGTTTTGTGTTTTCGTTTAAGTCTTGGAGAAACGAAAGACAGTATTGATGGATCATGAAAGTTTATATTGCTAACAACCGTAATGGCGTGTACTTAATACATAAGTAAAAAAAGTAAACTTCCATTTCTTCTCTCCTGTAAAATTTTCTTTTGTGTCACTTTTTTTGTACGTGTGCGATATGTATTGTTATTGTTATATTAATTTCAACATACTTATTTTAATGCAAACCAAATTAAACGAGATCGGAAATTCATGAGTAATTAATCAAAATTATTTAATTATATCAGTTTGAAAGAAAATCAATCAAAACACCGGAAAATCATTTAGTGATATATTAAAATTTAACAAACTATTACCTATTTTTGCTCTTAATAACACGTATAACATCATCTGACCTTGCGGAGGGCTTTAAGTCTCTCAGGCATCGAGTAAATATTCATTCGGATTTCGTCTTTTGAAACGGACCACTCAACCACAAGAGCTGTTGACTTTTGGAGGCAGCAAATGATGTCTAACCCGTCAGACTAGCATAAATATCCTTGTAGTAAGTTTTACTAAGATTCTTTTTGAGCAAATAGTTATGAGATAGATCCAGGTCGTGGATGGTGTAGGGGTATTAATCTTTATACCTACTTATTATTGAAAATAAACAAACAAATACAAATGTCCGGTTTTTGTCTATGAGTGTATTTTATAAATTTATAAAAATGCCATAATCACACCTTGCCGAAACCGGCACAAAACAGTATAATCAGCGTGAAGTTTAACAAAACGTGAAAATAATTTCGAATAGTTTACGCCGAAAAGGGAAAAGCTTAATATTTAAAAACAACGCCAGAACCCCAAAACTAAGCTTATAAGCTATAGCCTTTAGAATATATGTTATGAGAATGAGAAATATATATTATGAGAATATATATTATATTATAACCCTTGTTTCATTCACAATAAGCCCCAAATAATTTGTTTTTAAATTTTCCATCAATACTACAGTCTTACGTTATTTACCAAACGGTCAAATTTTATAATTATTTTGATCATGCACGTTTTGCACTTGGAAGTGGAACAAGATTAACGACTTGCTATTCGAGGTCGGAGATGATATTCCACGTCGTTAAAAGTACAAAAGTCGAAGGCTCCGTTTAACCCGGGTTTCTCAAATTGAACAGAAGTATTATTCCTATTATTCCTATTTTGAACATGTTTAAGTCATTTTTTAAAGACTTATCACGAATATATGAGGGCTTCGATAGCTATTGACGTCAGCTTAACGCAACACTAAGGAAGTGGAATACAAAAGATAACCGGTAAAAACTAAATTTTTCACTCCTTTCATCAGTTGTTTAATATATGAATGTTGATAAATATGGTGATTTAGCATTAATTGATAGAGTCAATGTAGATATATTAAGAAAAATTGACTGTTTTGATGCTTGAGAAAAAGTTAATTTGATGGTGTCAAGGTCTACATAGAATTGCCAGTATGCAAATAAAAATTAAAATAACGATTTTTTAAATTATTATACTTTTTAATTAATAATTATTCAGAAATCGTGAGATGCGGTCTGGTGTGATGTAGTTTCAGAAAAACATTTTCTTTATCGTGCCAACGTTTCGATCTTTATTGAGATCATCTTCAGGGCTCAAAGTGTTTGTCTTGTGTGTAATTGTGCCATTCTTGCGTGTCGTGTTGAGAGCGTTGAATTTGTGTGAGTAGAAATACTTTGATTGAATATAAAAAATATATTTTGCATTATATAAATTCACTTTTCCACATCCTAAATGTATTTGTTAAATGTAAACAATGTTTGTAAATTCCAGGCCCTGAAGATGATCTCAATAAAGATCGAAACGTTGGCACTATAAAGAAAATGTTTTTCTGAAACCTACATCACACCAGACCGCATACATTTTATACATTTTGATACATTTTAACTTAAAGAGGAGGCCGGGGTGCCATACTCGGTCAAATGCTTCCGTAACGTCCAGAAACGTCCAGCTGAGCAGTATTTTTTGTTTTCTAGAGCCGAGGATATCGTGTCGACTACTCTGAAGCCCTTGAAGGGAGAGGTCGAAACCCATATTGATGGTTAGTAATTACGTTTTCAGAGTCGAATAAAGGAATAGTCTTTTAAGGAGGATACGATCAAAGATTTTGGATAAAATAGGAAGGAGGCTTATTGGTTTATAAGAGGGTGGGGCACTGATAAACAATATAAAATTAATAACTGATTTAATGAATATTTAACATTTTATACTTTTATAAAACTAAGAAAACACGTGAAAGATGTTGGTAGCACGACATTCATATAATTCTGGCTTATCAGTATAATGTAGTTGTTCATTTTAGGGACTGGGGTTTTTTGGTGGCCCTGAGAAGGGCCGGTGTTTTTTCGTAGTGGAGACGATGGATCGAGGTCGGTTCCGTGCGTGTGCGTCTGTGTGCCGTTGGTAGTGGTCCGTGACCCAGAGGAGCGTTGGGTTAGGACCGGGGCCGTGAGTCGGTAGACTGCAGCGGTTGAAGGAACTCGGATGCAGCAGTTGGCCAGTATAGCTAGTCGGCTGTGTTGAGAAGGCGAGATCCAGGCTAATGCTGCAAGTTTTTTGCTGTCGTCGTTGTCGGTGCTCCTTTAGTGATTGGGATTGGCAGGAGCTCGTCGGGTAGACGAGTCTCGAGGTGTGCAGTGGGACCTCGACGGGTAGAAGAGTGTAAAGTCAGTGGGACATACCCCTGCTTATATACGAAAGGGCTCTTACTCTGATTGACCTCAGAGTGGAGGGCGAGACAATTCCATAACCAATAGTGGCAGTGGTACCGTGGTATATACAGGTGGCCACCACATTCATAAAGATTGCTTAGTGGATTTTTTACACACAAAAATGTATAAGTTACAAAAATCATATTGAGCCGCATACAGATAGGCCACACCAGCCTGACAGTTGAGCATCTCCTCGCCAAATAAAGACCACGGAGATGCCCTTTAGGTGACGCCCAATTATATGTAAAGCAGAGTGTGAGAAATTAGCGACACAAAGAATAAGGAGTGGTTTGCCTGCAGACTTTAAACAACATTTCAAGCACGATAGTTGTATTAATAAGAATTTGAAATTTGAAGCAGATAAACGTTCATGGTCGCATAAAGGGAGCACTTTCATATGTACATTGAAATAATATCCTTAATTTGAGCGAATGTATTTATTAGCGTGAAAGTTATAATATGTTGGGATGTGTTTGTGATGGGGCTTCTCTTGTCGTGGGTTCTACTCCCATCTGCCAGGATTGACTGAGCATCCTTTTGTTTTAATTTTCTGCCCTTGTCGCAATGGGAAATTCGATTTTCTTTTTGCTTTTCTCAGAACTTTCAGTTACAGAATTTTTTTATTCATCCCATTTACCTGTCACTTTTGCTCTATTGAAAAGTATTCTATTTTAGTCCGTAGACCATTTCATTATTCCACCATGGAACATCTCTATTTGTCCCTTTGGGTTTTAATGAGCTACATCCTTCATAGGCTCTAGTGATTGCCTTTGTCAACCTTCAGCTTGATATAGTTCTTGTTTATGTTTAACTGCAAAGTTTACCCATTCTGTTTCTAGCTTAAGAAATGCTTAATAGACCTGCCAGTACGTCCTCTTAGGATCTCTCTAAACTGGGGTGTTTCACTTATTTGCCTCCACCGAAAAGTTTATGATTCTGTGATCGGTCCTAGATGGTTTCGAGGAAACATGACAATTTTTTATTGTGTTATTAATATATGTGCTCGCTAGTGTGACATAACTCTTAGGACTAGTGACGAAAGTTGGTTTATTCACTCTATTACCCACCACTACATTATTTGTTAAAGTTGCCCTTGTTGGTATGATGATATGAAATGGATGTTGTTTTTTCAGTGCTGGACAAGCTTTTATACCTGCTGACCTGACTGGCGCATATATTCTCTAGCAGGATGGCCCTTCTACTTTACAACAAGATGTCTGGTGGTGTAATCTGGAACAGATAACTTCACTTTCGGGTAGATTAATATAGCAGATCTAGGTTTATCAAAATCCCTACAGTAAACCAATTTATCTGCATTTAATCCGTTTTACCATGCCCTCACTTACCCATCTCCTGGATCAGAGTGATGTCTAGCTGTTTTCCGGTGAAGAGAGATTAAGATATTACTCGCCACTTTTGCATAGTGCTGTGGATTTTATTTCCGTCCTCCACCGCCCTAATATTTTACCTTCCACTAGTGAAAGAAAATCTGCTTACATTAATGAAAAGCCTAAAACTGAAACTAGGCCAGAAAGAACTAACCTTGTCATGCAATGACACTTCTTCTATTATACATAAATTTCAAGGTAAAAATGAAAATGCTTCTGACTGGATGAAAATTTTTGAACAAGTATGTGAACGCCACCATGTAAATATTGAAAAGAAAAAATCCAAATTCTACGCTATTTTTAGAGAAAAATGAAATAGAATGGAGCACCGCTAGGCTTGAATTATTTATTCAGGGTGTGTGGACAGAGTGACAATGATTTCGTTCTTAATGATTTATGGGGACAAAGGTTGGCAGACAGATGTGCATATAATTATAAATTCATGGGAGAATCGCTTAAGAAAATGAGCAATTGCTTTTAGAAATAGAAATATAAACTAGCATGTCCACTTATTCAAAAATAAATAGCTGTAGGACTTTCTATATACATTCACCTCACAAAAAGTGCTATTCATTGAAGAGACGACAGTGCTCTTTAGTCCAGATGGGCATGAAATTAAGCATTCCTCATACATGATATTGCTCAGCCAGATGTGTTTCTGAGTAGCTGTACACCATAGCTATCCAATCCTTGGAGTGGCGTGCACACCTTAACCCATTCAAACACATACAGGGTGTTATATAGTGACATACAGGGGCAGTCTCAAAATAAAGGCTCTGTCACAGGATCAACTTGCTACGCTTAAGGTAACTATAGTGGAAGAGTGGAACAACGTACCCAAAACATTTCTTTAAAAACATTATATCAACAGGCCAAAAAAATTAGAAGCAATGAATTAAAGCCAGAGAGCACAATTTTTCTTACTAATGCCATTTTAAATTGAAAAAAAAAAATTAATTGTGTTGAAAAAAAGCTAATCACTTACTGACATTTGCCTACGTCCCTGATTCCAAAAACAGTCGTAAAAAATTTTTTTAAGATAATAAATTTTTTATCATTCATTTCACAAAAAATTGTTTAGTTTGTACTGCTGAGACCTTTTGATCTATGTAAAACCAGAAGTTCTTGTAAATCACAAAAATCTCAGCGTTTTGCGGCTTTTTTTTTTAAAGGGTGGTGTATATTAAATAAAATACTTAATTTAACTGTTTGACCAAGATACAAAATTTATAATACAAAATCAAAAATTGCCATCCTTGTCTGCCAAGAGTGGAACAATGTACACAAAAAATTTCTTAAAAAACGTTGTATCAACAGGCCAAAAAAATTAGAAGCAATTAATTAAAGCCAGAGAGTACAATTTTTCTTACTAATGCCATTTTAGATTGAAAAAATGAATTAATTGTGTTGAAAAAAAGCTAATCACTTACTGACATTTGCCTACGTCCCTGATTCCAAAAACAGTTGTAAAAAATTTTTTTAAGATAATAATTTTTTTAACATTCATTTTAAAAAAAAATTGTTTAGTTTGTACTGCTGAGACCTTTTGATCTATGTAAAACCAGAAGTTCTTGTAAATCACAAAAATCTCAGCGTTTTGCGGCTTTTTTTGAAATGGTGGTGTATTTTAAATAAAAAAGTTAATTTAACTGTTTAGCCAAGACATACAAAATTTATAATACAAAATCAAAAATTGCCATCCTTGTCTGCCAAGAGTGGAACAACTTACCCAAAAAGTTTCTTAAAAAATGTTACATCAACAGGCCAAAAAAATTAGAAGCAATTAATTAAAGCCAGAGAGCACATTTTTCTTACTAATGCCAATTTAAATTGAAAAAAAAATTAATTGTGTTGAAAAAAAGCTAATCACTTACTGACATTTGCCTACATCCCTGATTCCAAAAACAGTTGTAAAAAAAAATTTTAAGATAATTTTTTTAACATTCATTTAAAAAAAAAATTGTTTAGTTTGTATGTTGAGCCCTTTTGATCTATGTAAAACCAGAAGTTCTTGTAAATCACAAAAAATTTATAATACAAAATCAAAAATTGCCATCCTTGTCTGCCAAGGTTTGGCAGGTGCTGCTATCTTAACAGCTTTTAGAAAGATATTTTTTCAAGAGAGAGCGCTACTTTGTTTAAGTTTTGATTAAAGTGTTGTTTAAAACTTATTTTGTACACCTTTTTGGAGTTTTGATTAAATCGTGACAATACAAAAAAATGTTGAAAAGATATTGTATCATTGACATGGTTGTTGCATTGTATCCTATTGCACCTTTCAATTTGCTCTTTTCATTGTTACTGGTAAAACAAATATCATTTCTCATTTTGATTATTAAATAGTATTTTAAAATATTAATTCCATAACTCTCCTTGTTGAATAAATTAATTTTCAATTACCCATGCTTTGTTTGTTACTTAATGGAGATTTACATTTGTTACTGATAATAATAATGTTCTTTGTAACTTCTGGATATTACTTGTTAAAAAAAGGATAAGACCTTATTATCATATTTATATTTGTGTTATGATACAAGGTTTTTACAAAAGCCTTGTGTTTGCTATGAATTTACAAAAACAACTGTTAAATTGCCCGTTGATCTAGTTGACACTTTTTAAGGCAGACTATTCTCGATGGTGTTTTACTTTACAATCAAATACAATTCGGCTTCATAACATATTCAGTAAGGACAGAGTTCCTTCATATTTAATCCACCTACAGGCCTACCAAATATCACTGTCTTTAACTTTTAAATTATTATTTCTTAAAGTATCAATGCCTATTGGTACTTCTTAATAAATTATACCATTAACTGAACACAACTCTAAATCTCTAATAAGTGCCATGGAAAAAAACCAAGACATGATTTAAAAGCTTTTAAATATCCTTCAAAATTGAATAATAATAACAATACTTTATAGGATACAAATACACAATACAAAAGAAGAAAAAAGAACTGGTTTTTTCTGGGAAAAACGAGAACCATGAACTAAAATATATACCGAGAAGAGTGGTAATCATTCAAAATGAGGTAAAAGACCAAATTGTAGTTCATTTATTTTTAAGTTGTATTATTTAAAAAAACATGTTAAATATGTGTTAGATTATCAAGCAGCAGAATAATTTACAATAGTTGGGTAGTTTTGGGTGCCCCAAGGCTCTAGCATCTCTCCTATCCTTTTTTCCATTTATATCAATGATCTGCCCGACTCCATCCAGTCTTGTAACTATCACCTATATGCCGATGACTCCCAAATATACATATCCTTCCACCCTTCCGATCTTCACTCCGCCACTCTCAAGATCCAAAAAGACCTAAACTCCATCAACGAAAGGGCCCATAAAAATTCCCTAGTCCTCAATCCGTCCAAATCCACCGCCATAATTATCGGGTCCAGGCAACTCCTCAATTCCAACTCCCCAGCATCCCACCTCTCATGCTAAATAACCATCCCATCCCCTTCTGCTCTTCGGTTAAAAACCTAGGAGTAGTCTTTGACCTTTCCTGGCATCCTCACATTTCCCAAATTTCCCGCCATTGTATTGCCTCCCTCAGCCTGTTTTGTCGGTCCTGGCTTCTCTTACCTTTCTCCACCCGCAAATTCCTTGTATCTTCCCTTATACTTCCCTTCTTCAATTATAGCTGTTTGGCATACGGCGGTCTCTCGGAGGGGGAGAATGCGCGATTGAAGTGTATTATGAATTGTTGCATAAGATTTGTGTACGGTGTGGGGGTTGTATTCCCAACTTTCCTGGCTATTCCCCTCCTTCCGTGCACAATATTTCCTAGATTGCTTTCTTTTCCAGTCCATCCACACTCGTCGTCCTCCTTACATCATCCAATCCCTCCAATTCAACTCCTCACATCTCGCTCGTAAGACCCGCTCATCCCCAATCGACCTTATCCTTCCGCAACATACGACCCATACCTTCGAAAGATCCTTTCTGATTCGGATCAGAAGCTCCTCATCAGAAGGCTCGGGCCCGTAAACCCTGGAACTCCCTTCCTCTTTCTATTCGTCACGCTGCCTCCTTTTCCTCCTTTAAATCCCACCTGTATGTATAATCACCTCCTCTCCCTCCAAGCAGAGACCTCACGTTAATATTTGTTATTTTTGTTTAATATTCTCATAATTTTTTTCTTCTGTCCTGCCTTATTGGTATACATTGTGCCAAGATTTCTATGTTTTTTTTTTTAACTTTTAACTTCATAGAAGGAACTTCCTTTATTTAGTTTATGTAAATTATTCTTAGGGGACACCAGTCCCATAATAAAGTTATTTTTCTTCTTCTTCTTAGTTTTCAGAAGAACAGGCATACATCAATCAGTCGTATTATGTGTATTTGTAAAACATTTACATTGATTTTTTGCTTTTAGGATTATTGCTATCCACAATATACATGTACAAAATAATTACTCAATCTTCCACCATCAGCCCTCTCACATTATTAAATACATACACTCTCAGTATATACAAAAAATAAACACAAGATGAGATCAAATACTGTATTCAATAAAAAAAAGACCTGTTTCCTTTTCGAAAATGGCACCCAAATTCTGTCATGCTCATGCAAAAATCTCAAATTGGGTGGCATTTCTACTTGCTCTCTACATGCAGTGAAGGAATCTCTCTCTCTCTCTCTCTCTCTCTCTCTCTCTCTCTCTCTCTCTCTCTCTCTCTCTCTCTCTCTCTCTCTCTCCCTCTCCCTCTCCCACTCCCACTCCCTCTACCCATATATTTTACTTATATTCAGAAAGAAAGAGAGTTCAATTTTGTATACTAATAAATCATTTGTCATGCTCATGAGGGTTAAATTTAAAGAGAGTAAGTAGATATAGAGAAAGAAAAATACATGAATAGACCAATATAGGGGAGGGAAAGAGAGAAGAGAAAGGGAAATATGTTTGGAAAGGAAAACGAAAACGAAAGAAAGGAAGAAGAGGTAATTAACGTTTTATTTATAAAATCTCGCAAAATTAGGTCTCATGGTACTTTCTTACATTGAATGAGCAGAAAGAAAGAGGAGAGAGAGAGAGAGGGGGAGACTCGAATTTTAAATTTAAATAAAATACATTGGTACAAGTAAATCAATAGAATGAGGAAATAGGGAGAGAAGACAGTGGCTTTATGAACTCGCACATTAGTCAGAGTACGTACGTATTTGTTTCATGTATACGTAGTTGGGGGAAGGGTAGTGAGAAAAAAGGACCAGGGGCGACAATGAGAATCGAACCCACGACCGTGGATTCTACGAGCCGAGAGCTTATCGCGCTGACCACTCAGCTATCGCGGTCCCCTGAAGTATTCTATACCTATAAAAATTTAATATAGATTATTGATTAAATTAACAAATTATCTAATTGTTATGATTTACATAGATTTACTTCCATTTAACACCCTTTAACGGGACATGCCCGTATCCAATCTTCGCTAAAGTACCAGTTTACCTGAGATTACTCCAGTTATAACCATTACTTAAGCCTACTGATGTGGCACACGAAGAGAGCATGAACGTACAACTATTTTTGCCCGATATCGGCAAGTTTGAGGCAGGTCGTCAAAAATGAAATAATTCATGCATTTTTCTGTTTAGCTTGAAGACTTCTTAAAACAATCACATGTGTACATCTTGTTCGAAACGAGTTCATGAAGTTCAAAGCTAATAAGAACCAATTATATGCATATTACTATCTGCTTTTTTTTTTTAATTGAACGGAAACGAAATAAGTGTGTGTTTGTTTTTTCCTCTAATTTGTGTTTTTGTTCTCACACAATTACTTCTGAAGGGTTTTCGAGACTTTTTCACAATGCTCTCGATTAACAATTCGATCACATTTGATGTCAGCAAAAGTCTGATTGCCTGTTCTTTGTTTTTTATTGTACACGTGGTGTGTGTGTTTTTCTCTTTTCCTTGTTTGTTTCTACGTTTTTGTTTGATCTTTCCTTTTACTCGTCGATGTGGTTGTGGTTTTACGTGTGTCTAAGCAGGCCATTTACAATTCAAATAAGAAGCACATGATTTTGTAGCTCGCTTTGAGATGAGAGGGAGAAGTAAGGGGGAGTGACTGAGAAAGTGAGTGTTGAAATAAAAATATATATAGATAATTTGTATATATATCGATATAAAAATATGTATATAGATATCGAGGTACACAGAAAAATAAAGAGATATAGAGATATAATAGGATCAGTCATAAAATATACCGATTTCATTTTCTTGAAAATTTTAATCCCCTATAGGTTTTATTTCTTTTTCAAAACACGAACTCGACTTGCCTCCAGTTTTGTCTTAGAGTTTGGTTAAAGAACATGATGGTAAAATTTGAAACGTTGGTAATATTACACCATTATTGGAAACGTACGTTTTCCGCCGCCGAGGCAATCGGTTTGGAACGGCAATGTGAAGAAGACACTTTCTGAACAGACAGTGTGCATTTCAGAAATTTGATGCCAGTGACATCAGCCTCGAGAGGAAAGAGAGTTCTGGACGAAAATCGTTATCGCAGGACTCTCATGAGGCAGACCAAAGAAAACTCGGGAATTGGCAAGAGATGATGGAGTTTCCCAAACCACCATAAATCGTGGACTGCACAACTTGAGGAAATTGAATCGCTCATTAAGAGTGGTTCCTCATGAGTTGACCATTGAGCAGGCACAACGCCGAGTAGAAATTTGTCGAAATCATTTGAAAGATCTTTCGGTTCATCAAATGAATAGTTACTTGCGATAAAAAGTACATACATTGTGATACAACCCCAAGATCAAAAAAAACTTGACTACAATCAGCTTGTTCTACCAGTCAGTCATCAAACAAAGCTAATTCAACAAAAAGTCAATGCTCTCAGTACTTTGGAATTACGACAGCATAATTCATAACGAGTTCGTTCTAGGCGATCGAACCATTGATTCGAAACTTTATTGTGAGCAGTTACAAAAAATGTATGATGTTTTGACCCATTTTGAGGGTCGAAATCAGGCTTTGTTTCAGCAAGATAACGCCCGACCACACACCTCGTTACACGAAACAAAAACTCCAGAATTGGATGGAATCGAGCTCCTTCCTCGCCCTACTTACAGTCCTAGCACCTTCCGACTACCATCTGTTCCGGTTCATGGCTCATTATCGTCAAGGGAAAACTTTTAATTCTCTGGATGGGGAAGAAAATGGAGTTTCAGAAATCTTACGTTCAAAACCCTAAGAGTAGTGTTGCGAAGGAATCCAACTCCTGGCCTCGAGATGGAAACAAACCATAGAACACTGCGGTATACAGGGTGTATCAACTTCTCCTTTAGTACACCCATTTAATTAGGAAACGATGAACTTTAGCAAAAAACGGTCTTATACAAACCCCAAGTTAATTTTGGCTAGGAATCGCTTAGTGGTAAGAGAATTAAGACAACTTTCTAATCTAGCTAACGACACTAACTTTGTTATTTTAAATAAAAATCAATATCTTTATTGTACAATTTGATTCTGGAGCTTATTTTATGCCACTTTTACTGAAAGGAAAATTTAGATAAGATCGACCATTTCTGAGTTATGCCTGATGGAAGATACGTGATGGGTAGTCTAGAAGTTGATACAACCCGTGTATATGGGTCGTTCAGGCCATACCTTGGATGAATTGATGACCCTGGCCCAAATGAACACACCACCAAATCTCTATTGTACTAAGTTTCTGGAACGTTGGTCAACGTATGCTGGCTTTATTTTTCACAGAGAGGTCTACGACCAGAGAAAGTGTGGCCTGCACTATGCACAATGCTTCGTACTTAATCGTCCCAGGATTATTGTGGTGTGTGAGCTTATGGGATTTGGGGTGCATTTGGAGTCGTACAATCTGAGGAAGATTCAAGATTAATCCTGAGTATATCGGTTTTAATAGACAGGTTCTTTGTGGATCCTTTCATCGTACTTTTGCTCAAAACATTCACTAGTTGGAGCCCCTAGGAAGAACAGTAGTAGTCTGGGGTACATGGACGCGTCCTTGCTAGAAGGGAACGAATGTTCAGACAAGATGAAAGAAAAAACCTCGATGGCTGACTCAAGATCTAACCCACTGATGCTAAACTAGCAATAAAGAATAGCTTGAGGACCACGTTATCCCAAAAGCTCTTACACATCAAGAACAGTCTCGATAGGTAGCTCCTATAGAAACTAAATAATAGAAAAGCTGGGAGAATCCAAACGAGATTCATAATCAGCTATACGCGGTTGACAGGCAGTGGTATGCTTTTTGTATCAAGATGGCCCACTCCCTTTATTTCGACAACGATTAACTTTAACCAAAAATCGTGTTATACAAATTCCAAGTTAATTTTGGCTAGGAATCTCGTGGTCGTAACAGAATTAACGAAACTTTCTCATCTACTTCAATTCACTAATTTCGTGGTCCGCTTGACCAATTAATATCTTACAATTAATTAAGGTTTTCAGTTGAGATAAAAAAGTCAATGGCACGAGCGGGATTCGAACCTACGATCTTCGGCTTGATACGCCGCTGCTCTACCACTTGAGCTATCGTGACCTCGATCCACTCGGACACTAACTTCCCAGCTCAACCACACCTTTTGAATTTTCCATCCTTTTTGCCATTTTTCTCATCTACCTGGAGTCCCATATTTTTATTATACAATTCGATTCTACATTATTTTATGCCTCTTTTACTAAGAGGAAAATTTTGACAGGATCGACCATCTCTGAGTTATGACCCACGGAAAAAGCGTGAGCTTTTGGTAACAAGATGGCCCTCCCGTTTATTCCGAAAACGGTTAGCATTGTTAGCACGTTAACACCAAGCTATTTCCAGCCAAAATTCACTTGGTTTATTTGTATAAGACCGTGTTTTGCTAAAGTTAATTGTTTCCGAATTCAATGGGTTGAATGTAGAAGTTGATACACCCTGTATACTTTGAATATTTAAAAAAAAAATCTGCCAAAATTAAATTATAGCAAGAAAAACGGTCAGTCTTAAATTCCAACTTTAACTTGTAGTAAGATAAAAGTTCAAAAATTTGTATTTTTCATATACATATTTGGAAAGAAGTAGTATATGCAATATAATATTATAGCACATATGACAGAAGATTTATTATTTTGGGGCCAGAATTGGCCATACAAGCTTAGCTAAGGAAAAATTACAAAGTTTTCTGAAATTGTAATCTTGGTATACTTATTAAACATTTTTTCATTATAAATTATTTATGAAGATTGTTTAATAAATTGAAATGAGTGTTTCGTATGGCAGTAAGAATAATAAAACGACCTCTTGGCGGATAATAAATATGTTTATTTTTAAAAATTATTGACCAGTTAACCTTATACGTCGGCTTAATAATAACAAGTCGTATTTCATAATCCTAAAAGCAAATAGCAACGACAAGAATCTATAAAACCGGGCGATTGATTTTGAAAAATAGAAGTTCT